AGGTGTAGTTGTAGTAGGAGGAGTAGTTGTAGTAGGTGTAGTCGTAGTTGTTGTAGTAGGAGGTGTGGCTGTAGTTGTACTTGTGGTTGTCGGAGGTGAAAGTGTAGTTGTAGTAGGAGGAGTAGTTGTAGTAGGTGTAGTCGTAGTTGTTGTAGTAGGAGTGGTTGTGGTAGTTGGAGGTATTGTCGTAGTTGGCTCACATACATCCACACATGTTTTGTTTTTCTCATCAAATATGGGCTTATCTTCTGGGCATACAGGGTAACAGCCTGTATAAAAGGAAATCACATAATAATCTTAATTAATATTTCTGAATGGCACATTTATCTGATTCAAGGTAATACAAACTGACACGACTGAGCCTCCTACCTTCCAGGGTGGGTATCGGATTCAAACATACACCTTCTGGATTCAAACAGGTCTTGTAGCATGGAGAGTGGCAAGGGTTATAGTGCCACGTGCATATAAATGGGTCGTTGTAGTAATCACAATAGACAGCTAGGAGAAAAAGATCCAAATTATACCATTTACTTAGATGATTAAAATGTTGACTGAAATATATGAAATTTCAATTTATAATGTGAATGCAGTTCAAACTCCACTCTCACATTAAAATTTAATAAGGTTATTGAAAATATTTTGGAATTTCTGTCTGATTGCACTAAAATAAAAAGATTGCAATGAGATTATTTATTTGATTTTGGAAATAAGTAACCCTGACTATAATATACACTGAGTTTAAATTGAAGTGAATGTGTTACATATGCAAGTGTTATAAACTAAAGCAAATATTGTCTGCAGTATATTTGATGTTAGATTACATAAGTAAAAAGTCTTTACTTATTACAGATGCAAAATGTGTTTCCTTTCACTTTTCCACATATTATTTTTGTTGTGATTATCGTTAATCACGTTTGACCTACACTCAGTATTTAAGAATGATCCCACTACAATTGCATATCCTTTTCAATAGAGCCCAACATGTTATATTACAGGATTTTTTTAAGCTAACACAAACCAAACACCGACTCTGGAACAATCACTTTGCCACATCCATTTTCTTTTGCATTTAACACTTAGAAATGTGTTGTCCGGAGAGGGGGGCAGATTAATAATCTCAAAAGCAACAAAATAATCTATTTATCACATTTAATACATACATTTTATAAAGATACACACAGTTTACACTGTTTAATAAATGGTCTGACTATGTTTGTAAAAATGAGAAAATTCAGTTTCAGATGCTTTATAAGCTTGCAAAAGCACGTGTCCACTTTGGTCCGTATTGGTTATTGAGTGTAGCTTGATACAGAAAAGATTAAGTTTATTAATTAATAATAATAAAGTAAAAAATACAAAAAATGATGGGGTATGTTTACTGAGCAGATTGATATATAGAATTTAAAGCCTCAAAGACAAAGTCATGTGTCAGAAAAGGTGGGGGGGGAAACAAACTGTTACTCACGACAGATCTCTGGAGTTCTCCATGCAATGCAAACATCATGCTCATTGCAAGCCTGAGCGTAAGCTGCAACTGCTGTGCAGAAACATTCACAGTCTCCTCCAGTGTCGCAGGCACATGAGTCTTTTACGCAGTTTTCATAAAATGGAAAAGGGCTAACCTGAACAGTGGTGCAAATTTGATGATGATTTTTTTTAGAGCATTGTTTTAGATTTGCGTGAATGTGAACAAGTTACAAATTCTCATTACCTTTTTGTGGCATTCTTTAAATGTTACTCCAATTATGATGCTACACATCAATTTTGCCCACTGATGTCGACCGGGTGTTACTGCGCACGGATCAATGTTCACCTCCGCATCTGGACAAGAGCTAGACACTTTCCAGCTGTTTGCAAACTCAAGTGGATTGCTCACCACCAGCTGACCCTGAGTGGTGTAGTCATTCTGTCCATCACCATCGAAATTACCACACAGGCCACACACCTCTCCCTGTGCAAATAAACAAAAGAGTCAATCGAGCAATGTGAGATCTTAATAAATATAATTTAGTGATTTACATTTATCATAATTTCATTAATATATTAGGCTCCTAGGAATTTTCTTTCTTTTTTAGAAATGATTCTGTTAATTTTTTCAATATGAGGTATTGAAAACCACAAGTATGTGGTCAGACAAAAAGGGTACAATAAAATAGTAAAACTTTAATGCAAGAATTTAATGTAACAGTTACTGTGACTCACGCTGTGCGTTGGTTCAAGCAGGATCCGAACAGCTGTTTTACGATCCCACATCACTGCCATCCCAATCTCAGATTCTACAACCACATACAAGCCAACGTTCCTTATCTTGTACTCGATCTGAGGTCCATGTCCCAGATCATCCTCTTCAACTCTTCCCTTTGATAGTTTAATTTCATTTCTCTGTAATGAAGGAAAGGAAATTTCTGTTGGTTCAATTGCAATGCTGAAAATATATTTACTTAGATTTACTATTGTTGGCATAAGAAAGCTTTGATATTGTTTATAAGTGATCTTACCCCCAGTTGAATTCTGACTTTTTTAGAGCAGGTGGTGCCCGTAGAGCCACAAGGTACATTTTCAGTGATAACTCCAAAGCTGTTGTGCACCGTTTTATTCCCACAGTTGTTCTGTTTAAAAAAAGAAAAAAAAGGGTTAAACTTTGTGTTTTTTGGGGCTAAAGTAGACGATAACAGGAATAAGATTATGCACTTACATGTTATATATTGACTAACTGCCTTTGAATCTTTATGTAATGACTTTTGGAGACACAGTGTAGGTAATTCTTAACTGTGTCTCAAATCTTTGCACTTAGAAAAAAAGATTTTCCTTATCCCTGATCCAGATATTATTTACAATATAAGGCATTTGCTCCTTGCAATTTCACCTATGAGTTCTAAGTAAGTAATTGTATTTGGTAAGCAAAATATACAGTGTGAATGGCATGTAACTTTTTTTTTTACAAAGAAAATTAGAGTTGCATAACTGACTTTACTCCTAATTGTTCAGAGTTTATTTTTATGAGAAACTTTAGATGAGGACATGACAAGGTCAATTTAGGTGACAGCTGTGCTTTGGATGATTCTGGCATACATTATTTACCTTTACAGCAATATAGCCACACTGTCCTTGAAATGCATATGTTTTCTGATCAAATGTGGTGTAGTGACCACTTCCATAAATAATGCAAGTTCCTGGACATTTTTTCTCAGAGCATGTCCATTTTCCACTTTGGCAGGTACTAAATGTATCAAAAAAAAAAGTAAATACAGTACAATTTGAATACTGTGAGAAAAACATGTCATATATATCACATACTGTTTATTACTCTACAAGTATTAATTAGAAAATAACTAAAAAATAAAATAAGATCCTACCAGGTATTGCACTGATTAGGTATTTGTGTCCCGGAGACATAGAGATGGCCATCATGTTTGCATGGACAGTCACTTTCTTTCACACAGAAACCTTTACCATCATCAAGGAGGCCACTGGGACACCGACAACCAGATTCACACTCTGTGGCATCCTGGGAGGATAGAAAGACCACATTGATAAAAAATAAATAAATAAATAAAAATAATAATATTTATTAGATATTGTTTTTTCAGATTTGGAGGTGCATCAAAAACAACTCACACAATCATCATTGTCCAGATTTAAACAAGTTCGAGCACACTGCACTCCAACAACTCCTGCGCTTGCAGTGGAGCAGTTGAAGTATTCTTTTGGAGAAGGACAAGCTGTAGAAACTGTAGGAAAAAAGTACAAATTCCTTTAATATACTATATATTGTCTTAAAAAAAACTCTCTCATTGAAGAAGAAAAAAAACTGACTTGACATGCGGGTTCTCCCAGAATGGCAATGAAGAACTCCGTTGGTGCATATGCTAGAAAAAGTCACCAAAATTATAAAGATACAACACAAAAAGCCAAGTCTGTGTAAATCCATCATACTACATGTATTACGGTCCTGTTTAGTCCTTAGTTTAGGATGTTTCATTTGAAATCCTGAAGTGACTCACCAGCGCTCGTTGTTGGTGCTGATGGACTTGCCTGACTTTACGTAGACTTCATTATGGTAACAGGGACACTTTGCCACTGGGACACAGATGCCGTTGTCATCTAGGTAGTGACCCTCAGCGCAGGAACAGCCATCCACAGGCAAGAAATCAGAGGTGCAGCTCTGCTGCTTTAAGCTCAATGAGCTGCAAGTCAGCTGGCATCTCTGATTTTTGTAAGAGAAGGTCTGAGATGCTGGGCAGTTCTTGGTGTATTTTTCTGTTTTACAGAAAATATGCTAATGATTACCTCATAGTTCTGGACTAACTAATAAAAAAGAACACGCTCATCAAACTTGATTACTGAGCTGTTTCAGATACACTTACCGCACACATTCTCTCTCCAGTCTGTCAAGAACACTCCCTTTGATGCGCAAGCTCTTGTGTAGGAGGAGAAGACAGCACACAGGCAGTCCTCGCTCTTCTCACAGTTACAGCTAGCATAAGTACATCGCTGTAGAAAACAGTGAACACGTTTTTATTGTATTACAGTCCCACTGTATTTAGTTAAAGAAACACAGATAGATTGTGTTGTACCTTGTAGTAAATCTCAGGATCCACAACAGAATGGCACTCTGCAAAGGTGCTATTTGGCTGTCGTAGCAAGGCGCACCAGTGATTGGCATACTTTTCTATAAGTAGATGAGTAAAAATGTCATTTCTTGCTTATATTTCTTGCTTGTTTATATATGCTGCAATTAGTGCCTGGAAAATCAGTTTCAAGCAAATGATAGCAATTAAAGAAATAAACTTCCTTCCATCCATCCATCCATCCATTCTCTTCCACTTATCCTTGTCAGGGTCGCGGGGTGGGTGGGAGGCAGGGTACACCCTGGACACACCGTGGACACGTTGCCAGTGTGTCACAGGGCTAACACATAGAGGATAGACAACCATTCACACTCACATCCACACCTATGACTAATTTATAGTTACTAATTAATCCAAACCCACTAAACAAATAGGTGGAGTTCAGAAAAAACATAAACGTGGACAATAAAATAAGGAATAAGAAATAAACTTGATGGACAAAAACACTTTCCAGTTTACCATTTTCCACGCTGAAAGAACAAGGGTCATCGAGTCTGTCTTCTCTGTCTTGGCATATATGGCTAGCCTTCCAGGAGTTACTAAAAGCTGCTGCACTTCCCTCCACAATGCCCTGACGAGTGTTCATGTCATCAGACAGGACCATGTTGTAGTTCCCACATAAACCTAAAAATTACAGATTCTTAATGAAGAAATTATCATGAAATGCAAATAAGAATGCTAAAGAAAAAAGTATATGAAACCAAATGATTTTCAATGGCTTGCTAGTTGGGTGGTATTCAGAGTGGGACAATCCTGAGATCATCCCTGGTCACATAAAACACAATTTCTCTATTATGTTCTTTGGCTACCTCAGTGTCTACTTTTCACTGAACCTTCAAGATAGCCTTTTTATTTTGGCATACCAGTTAGCTGCCCACACCATCTTAGCTGGTTCCTTTTCATCTGAAGAAGCTAACAGTCTATTACAAGCGCCCTCATTATTTTTTAAATTTCTCGCCGTAGCTCTAAGAGTGGGCGAGGCCATTTATTACAACCTTTTAGCCAAAAGGTTGTAATAAGGTTGCTGGCAGTGTTTAATAAAAAAAAAAAACATATGAATCACTGAAATCAACATAATCTGCTGGTGTTTCATTTGTTTAAGCTGCAAATGGCAAAGTTTGTTTCGAAATGCACAGATACATCAAAATCATGTAACCATCTTCAACAGACAGCATTCTTTAAGTCTTGCAATAAATAGTTACTTAATAAATGCATACTAGCCCTCGTGATATAATGCTTTAAGACTAATGTAAAACTTACCACGTGTCTTTTCTCTGTAGCTCTGCTCCAGGCTGACATAGACTTGCATGAGAGGCACATGTTGGATCTGAATTTGCAAACCAAAACTGGTCTGGAGGATGATGTGAAAGGACGAAGCGTGGAATATACTGATATCCCCTGTGAATGAAGAGATACACAAAAATCTGTGGTATCAGTGGCTCAGTGGCTAAGTTCTTACGTCTCAGCATAAATGAAAGTAACATCTTAAATCGAAAGTTCCTTATTTTCTGACCAACCTGAGAAGTACGGCAAACTGATACTCTGCATATTCTGCTTTACTGCGCCATCAGCAGTGAATGTTAACACCTGAATAAAAACAGAATCGATCATTAAAATGTTGCAGCTGTCAGTATCTATTTAAAGCATGAGCCCGGTATTAAACTCACATTGTGTCTGTCATTGTTCAGCAGGATTTTGATGGTCTTCAGACAGGTGTCATACTCTTGGTGTGCACATGGTACCAGTTTGACCAGAATGGTAAACGTAGGGCTTGCATCATCCTGAAATACACATAACGTAAGCAAAAGAAAAAAAAATGTAGCCTAATTCAATATATTTTTACTTACATGTGCCCAACACAGTATTGTCTAAACTTTGACTGTACTGTACTAAGGCTCATTTACCTTTCTTTCCACCTTTGCCAGGGTGTAGTAACAGTCTCCATGGAAGGTGAAGTCTTTCCCATCAAAGGTGGTTACATGTGAACCTTCTTCAACTGCACATGTAGAAGGTGTTGAAAGACTTTCACAAGCCCATCTACCTTCAAAACACGTGCTGAAAAAAAAACCCAAATTCATTAAGAAAACAAAATGTGCAGACACATTGTTAAAAATTACATTCTGATAGCATTATGAACATTACCATTCCTCTCGCTCCTGTCTGTAAACTTCACCAGATTCATAGATTTTTCCATGCTTGCACTGGCATTCAGACTGAGCAATACACCCCCTCATGGAAATGTCATCGAACACGGTTCCTGAAATGGAAGGTTGGCATTTGAAGGTAACATCCCATGAAAAGAGAAGCTTTAACAGGTGTGTAGAAAGAAACTTATTTGACAAGCGCGCTAACCAGGAGGACAGAAGCAGCCGTCCATTTTGTGGTCCTCACAGAATGAGCTTGTGTCTTGATGCGTGCAGGTATCCACACAAGGGGATCCACTCTCTTCATAAACCATGTTGAATGGGCACTGTATGGCTGTGAAGGAAGTGGGAATTTACGCAAAGTGTCTAAACATCAACTTGTTGAAGTTTTTCACTTGAGTGTAAAAACAGCAGATTTTTTTGTGCACTTATTTTACTTCTGACATTTGCCAAATTTCACCATATACTTGGCTCAGGTGATTTCAGTGTTTTGGTACTCTCTCTACCGCTTAATATATAAAATACAAAAAGAAAAAGAAAGAAAAAACAAACTTTACCACAGAACTCAGAAGTCCTCCAGTTGGGAGGCTCCCCTCCTGCATGGGAACACTGTCGAGAGAACTCAGAGAGTGTGCTGCAGACACAAAAGTCATCTGAATGGTTGGTACAGCCACACATGTCCTGCACACAGGCCTGAATGTAAGGCTCGGGGTCAATCAGTTTGGTACAGGAGCTCCAGGTTTCTGCATGCAGCATCTCTTCACAGGTGTTTTGCTAAACGACAGTAAACACATGCACAATTATTTAATGCAAACAAAAAAAACATCAGATCTCTTTCGTTAAACCTGGCTAAAGTAGGTAACAAAACTCACAAACTCTTTGCATGACTCTGGCACATTCATAGCTTCCTGTGAGACATCTTCCTCTTCATATGGGTCCTCACAATCATCATTTGGACGATGGACTTTATGTATGTTGCCAAACTCAATGGGGCTGATTTTCCGACCTTTTGCATACAATTACATTAGTAGGGACACGCAATAGCCAGCATAATGAAGATTTAAAAAATTAATGAATGATGAACAGCTTTTACCATCAAGGAGGAACTCATTGTAAACTGGAACACCATTAAAATCTCCACAAAGTCCACAAGTGCGGTTAGTGTAATCATTATCAATTTCCACCTTAAATATGGAGTAAAGGGTTAGAAAAAGTTTTAGAAACCAGACATGACATGTTTAAGATATTAAAATATATATATATATAATATATAATATATATAATAATAACAAAATAAAATGAAACGAATGCATCAAAGTTGCCACATTTAAGGACTTTACATGTATGCAAGGACAATAGTAACCACTGTAACTATTGTTGTAGTGAACCAGGTAATTCTGCAATTCAACTCGAGGACAATGTATTTATTTAAATGCCACACAGACCAAAATATAAAAGTATGGCTAAGTATTTCTGCAGGTTGGGCTGTTAGTCATTAATAAAAGAAATGTGTTAAAAATAATGTCCTATTGGATCTGTCTATTTTAAGGATTTACCATGACTGCATCATCAAGGTTCCACATGACAATGATGCCAACTTTGGACTGGAGCTTGATGTAGACTGCATTTCTTTCCACTTGTACTCCAGCCTCGTAGTGTGGCAGTTTGACACTGAGAAGAAAGATAATATCTTTTTGACAATTATAATTCATTTATATCTATAACTAACATTATATAAGAAGCATCTCTGTAATGAATAAAGTCTTTTGCATTATAAATCACTCTGTGAACTTCAACTGTTCACTCACATTGCCATACTTAAGAGTACTGTCTGGAAGTCTGGGTTAATGTATAAAAAGCTTAAATTCAGTCATTATCTGAACTTCAGGAAAAGCAACTACAATCATTAAACGAAGCTGGATTCAGCAACCACACTAACATTTTATTTTTGGAGTCAACAAATCTTGAAATTCATGGAACTCATAAAATATAAATCTTTAACAACAGTTCAAACTTTTTGCATTTCCATTTGTCTACTAAAATTGTGGAACAGTTTTCCAGTGGACCTACACCAATGTTCAAGCATTTTTCAGTTCAAATAAATTTTTTGAAACCTGCTTTTGAAGAATGTGAAATTAATGAAATTGATGACTGATAATAATAATAATAATAATAATGATAATAATTCATACGTTATTGATCCCCATGGGGAAATTCCTATCTGCATTTAACTATTTCACTCTAATTATATTAATTTATTGTGTTTTTTATGAGTGTATACAAGTGCTGAGGGGAAGTGTGCGTAATGATGAACATGGTCAATCAATCAATCAATCAATGAATCAGAGATTAATAAGCATGTGGATATTTCTTCCTACTCCATTTCAGACTTGATGATGATTTAGTGGTTAATTCATGTCATTAGGAATGTGTGTATGTATTGGTTTTATATATCTGAGATAAAAGATTATCATTGTCATCATAATTCTAGCAGAGTTGCTTTTTTTTTTTTTTAACTTACGGCAGGTCGTTCACAGTGACCACATCCTTGCTGAGGTGAAATGCAAAATCGGTGATGGTGACCACCACATAACTGACTGTCGGGTTTCCATCGTTTTCATTCCTCTTCATGTGCACAGAGAACTCTGGGAAGGTGTCATGGCAGTCGGAGACCAGGTTGTATTCACACATGCCAGGAAACTGGTACACATCACCATCGAACGTCTTGAAGTGCTCCCTGCCCCATGTGCTACAGATGCTGCTCACATGGTTACGGACTGGAGAAACATTCACGTAAATAAAAGATGAATATTGGTGGAAGTATTATAAATGTTGTGTTCATATGCATCAATGAAGAAGATACATTTATTTAAATAAAGCAGACCAAAATTATTTGAGTCTTACCCAATCTGGCTTGGATCTCAGTGACATGGGCTATAATCAAAGCAAGGAAGCACAACCCCACTGAACTCCCCCTCATTGTTGCCACTGTGGACTTGATGTTCCCTGAGTGGGTAATGTAGAGAGTGGTTCTTGACTACCTTTTATATTGAGATCAGACTTTTTTTTCCTCACAGCTTCTTCCTGTGTAAGACGTGAAGATTTATTGCTAGTCGTGGTAAACATTTGCTGTATGGCTGTCCAACACCCTTCACAAATCCCATATAACTTATTATTACATCCTTCCTCTTGATTGAACAAGTATGTTTGCACTTGAATATATCTTCATTTCAAGACAACAGAGGCAGCAATAAAACAGTTTTATTGACAAAATGCTCCTCTGTTCTAAATCTATTGTCTCATAAGGATCCAATAATTATAATTTATTAAAAACAGAAATGAAAAGGGGAAAATGAGACACTGGGATGTCAAATTTCTTACAAACCTGCCAAGGAAGTAAAGATCTCATGAGTGACTATGACCATGCAGGTATCACCTAACATAATATGAAATCTACATGAGATGCTTTAAGCAAAGCTTATGCCAACTTGTCTACCATCTGCTTTACATTTGATAAGATCATTGACAAACATCCTGCAATACTCGGGAGCTTGCTCATGTATTCATGTTCTACTCAAAAGCCATTAAGCAGCAGGATTTGATTCCTTTATTTGCTTTAACATTTCTCATTTTTGAGAATGCTGCAAATTCACAAGCAGAAAGGAACTTTAAACCGAGGAAAGAAAAGTCTCAATTTGATCGGGGGTGTTTTACACATTACATACACAATTGACCAATGTATGTCTTTAACTAATTTTCATTAGTTTACTCATATATCCCTGTAGGGCTGCATTCTCAGCCCCCTACTGTATGCCCTATATATCTATGACTGAACACCAACCCAACCAATGTCATCGTTAAGTGTACCAATGTCATCACCGCTATTGGGCTCATCTCTGATGAAGATGAGACAGCGTACAGGGCAGAGGTTGAGAATTGATAACCTGAAACTGAACCTCGCTCATACATTCACTGTACTTTTCCACCACTGAAGGGCATCGCCAGCTCGTCCTGTCTCAGGAAAATCAGACCTATCACAGGTGACCCCTTGCACCCTGCCTGCTTGACCCGCTGTCCTCTGGTCGGCGCCTCAGGTCAATCAGGTCCCACACCTCCAAACGCATAAACTTCTTCCCCTGAGCCAGTGTCATGGTCCTGAGTCGTGTGACCCAGTGCTTTGAGTTTCCTTGTATTTTGATATTGATTGTGTATGTTTAGTTCTTTTGGTAGCTTCCAGGTTACTTAGTTTACTTCTTTGTTTATTAGATCCCTTTATGTCATCACCCCTGTGTTAAGTATTCCCTGCTGGTTTGTGTCATGTCTATGTCTCTCCATATTTCCTGTTTTCTGTTGAAATGTCTTGTGTTTCTTTGTACAATGTGTTTAGTTTTACTCTCCCCTGTGATGTCATTATGTTTCTTTCTAGTCAGCTGTTTCCTCATGTGTCTCCACTTTCTCTGATCACCTCATATGTGTATTTAGTCTTTGTGTTGTCAATCAATCTTTGTCAGGATGTCTATTTTCCTCCATGCTCGTCACAGCATTCATAATGTCAGAGCTTTCATATTGTCTCATAGCTTCACAGTTCTGTCATAGTTATCTTGTTTTAATTTTCCTAGTTTAGCTTACAAGGTTAGTTGTCATTCCTCTTTTGCCCTTGCTTTTATTTTTTCCCCCTGTCATCAGCCCTAATAAAGTCTCGCCTTTTGTTTGAATTCAACTCCGTTCTCCTGTATCTGCATTTTGGATCCATAAGATACCGGCTGCTGACTTTTGGACTGTCAACAAACACTATCCCCCCACACCCCATCCCTGTCCACCCACCCACCAATCTAAGCCATGATCTCAGGAACCCTTATCACTCAGGCCACTCACACATGGACTATACTGAGACCAAGTCCAATGCACTACTTTTCAAGCAATTTGCAACCTATCCTCTATTATGCGTTTTCCTCTTATTTGTTTATAATCCTCTCGCTTGATATTTATTCTTGCTGCAATACTATTTATAGCTTTAGTCCATGCATGGTGTGGAACACCCACAATTTTATTGTGCATGTGCAATAACAATAAAAATCTATTTAATTTTATTTTGTTCTATATGTCTAAACATTACAATGTTTGAAATTCCCCTCCGCGAATCGCTACCTTGTCATGGTGGAGTGGTTTGTGTGTCCCAGGGATCCCAGGGGCTATGTTGTCCGGGGGCTTTTGCCCCCTGGTAGGGTCTCCCATGGCAAACTGGTTCTGGGTGAGGGACCAGACAAAGGGCGATTCAGAAGACCCTCATGAGAATATCAGGGAGGGAACAGATTTTTCGTAATATTTGAAATATATAAATTCAACCAAAACAATAAATGCTACCATAAAATCAAGACATTGTCATTTGACAATAAAATATATTTTAAAACATATCATAAAATTATATTACTTACGCAAAGTTAATATTTGGTAGTGCAGTAAGAGTGCGTAAGGCACTGTTTAAATTGCTACTGGCTCATGAATTGCACAGGATGTGCAAATAAACTCACAGGTCTAGATCCTTGGTGACTATCATTGCCGACCTGCAGCGTCATGTTTACATGCATGAGGTCTGGTGGCATGTTAGGCTTCAAATTTTTTAACTCACACATAGTTTGGACAGTAGTTTTGATTTTTACTTTTAGAACATATTGAGCTACTTTCACCTTCTACAAAATTCTACCAAACACCTGTATTTTGGTCACAGCTTACTAAATATTTGTATAGGATAAATCATCAACACCTTAGTGAGAGAAAAACTAAACATCAAATGCAGCTTTAAAGGTGCTTCTTCAAAACAGATTTTAAGAAATGTACATTTCAAACTGCTTTAAATGTACAAATATGGCTCCATGTTGAGTCAATGTGAAAGTCAGAGTTCAGATTTTTGCATTTTTGTGTCACAAGTACTATATAAGATAGATAAGTTAAACTTTTATTAGTCCCACACATGAGACATTTTTTGGTTATGGCAGAAAGTGGACAGTACAAGTTAAGAGAATTAAACGTTAATAGAATAGAGTAAGATAAAATAGAATAAGATTAAATTGAATAATATACTATACGAAAATAGAATAAAATACTTTGCTATATCAGGGAAATTGCATCTATCTATCTATAGATACAGATATAGATATATTAATTAGGGGTTTTTTTGCTTTTTTTTTTTCCCTTTTTGCCTCTCCTTTCTGGTACAGTAGGAATCAAAATTGCCCCCTCCCTGGACCCAGCTTCCCTGCTGATGCCAGTGGGCACCCCCGTTTCCCATAATCAACCAAGAGCAGGGGCCCTAGGCCCATCCAGCAGCACTGCCAAGACCCACAGAGCACGGGGCAGCCCACCTGACCACACCACACCAGCAAAACTACACCCACCCCAACATGTGGTGGCTCAGCTGGTAGAGCAGATCAGCTACTGATCGGAAGGTTGGTGGTTCGAACCTTGGCTTTCCCAGTCTGCATGTCAAATATCCTTGGGCAAGATACTAACCCCAAGTTGCCCCCCGATGCGTTCATCAGAGTGTGAATGTAGTTTAGTTTGCACTTGAGTTTAGAAGTGCTTCGAATGGGTGAATGAGGCATGTTGTGTAGAGCGCTTTGAGTACTCCGGGAGAGTAGAAAAGCACTATATAAGAATCAGTCCATTTACCAACATTCAGTCAACTCCTAGAATGTTGTCTAGGAAATAACAGCTCAATGTGGTGGGTTTGTTCCATACAGTACATTCAACAGATGACAGGTATTAGAGAAAGCAAATGTGTCAGGGATAAACCAAGTTTAATCCTGTCAAATTAAAGTGCCCCCAAATTTATTAAGACGTGAAGACAAGATGATTTTTTTAATTAATAGACTAATTGGTGGGGTCTCTGTCCTTCTTAGGAAGAAGACAAACATGGGCATCATACACACAATCAGAAAAAGAGTACCATGCAATGGAGCAGTTCACCATCCTGAGTAAAATTGGAGCAATTATATCAACATGTGCTTTACAAATGTCACAGTTCTGTGTCTGTGGGCTCTGTGTTTTTCTGTTTGCATCAGTTATCTTTGATTTCATGATGCGTCTTTCCTAGTCTCTTGGTTTTTGATTTCTCTCTCTAGTATTCCCAGCTTAGCATTTCTTGTGTTCTAGTTCTGAGGTTGTGATTCTGTGCTCCTTCTATTTAGTGAACAGTCATCCCTACTGCTGTGTTCCCTTTGTTCTGTGTCAGCTGTATCCCTTAGTCAAGTCTGCGTCTGTTATGCGTTCTGTTTTACTTTGAAAGTCATTATCAAAATAAAATTTAATTTAATTTAATTCTTTCAAATAGATGCAAGTAAAACATATCAAAAAAATAAATAAAATCAAAGATTCAGCGCCACTAATTCCTGTTGATCATAAATATATTTTCACCTGTTTAAAAATGTGAACACTGGCATCCTTGAAAGAGTGACCTTTGTTCTTTAGATGCAGATGGACAGCCGAGTCTTGTCCCGTGGAGGTGGCCATTCTATGTTGTTCCATGCGCTTTGAAGTGTCTGTTTGGTCTCTCCAATGTAGAGGTCTGGGTATTCCTCACTACACTGTACAGCATACACTACATTGTTAAGTTTGTGTTTTGAGTTTTGCCTTTGGGGTGAACCCGTTTTTGTCTGAGTATGTTGCTGGGTTTTGAAGTACATCACTCTTTCGTACTGGCATCACTCTTTTGAGGATGCCAGTGTTCACATTTTGGACAGAGAAGACAGATGGTTTGAAAGAGGAGTGAAAGAAGCCATCTATGTCCACTGTGAACAACCATCTTTAAAAAGAGGTGGTGGCTTACAACACCAACTGTCTGCCATCTATAATCCAGTTCTGAGATACCTTCCCAGAGGCCTTAACGCCCACTCACATGCTGGGCCATTTTTGACCTCAGGAAATCACATGATCGGGTGGGGTTAGGTTTCACAATGAGCTCATCCGAAACCTGATTGCTGATTGTGATATACACCCATTTTC